CATAGATCATCGAAGGATACTATTCTAAATATTTATAAAATAGGCCTCTTCTTTTTTAGTTTACGTTATTTTAAATTATTTATGTACAGTATAGTAATAATATTCGACAGAAGGATGACCTGGGGTCACTTGTCAAAATGAAAAAAAAAAATACTTTAAACTAGTGTCTGAAAATAAAATATTCTGTTTTTTTGTTATATCGAAATTGAAAATCAGACAAAAAGTAAATACATACACACACACTTATTTAAATCCATATCGACATAGGCCTCACAGATTTTTGGTTCAGAAAAAAAAGCGAAATAAAAACTATCCAAAATTTAGAATGTTTGTGCTATAGGCTTATAGCCAAAACATTTCAAGCCATCTAACAATAACCATCATTATCAAAACATTTAAAACTATCTAACAACAGCCATCGACAAACCCATATTCTATATTTATTTATTTCGTAATAAACTTAACAGACAAAACAGACTTATAAACGAACTATGGCTAACCACGGCTGACATGGCCATCAGAAAGCTATCGAAAAGGAACTTCATGAGAGATCTCTTGAACTGAATTAAAGGAGTAGATAAGAAGAGATATTTTTCCTCTTGTTTGAAATGCCAGTACAAATCTCTACAACTCGTTTGCTGATTATCACATCCATGACTGGTGTGAAAGATAATACAAAGACAAAAAAAGTAATAAAAAAAATTTAAAGATACTTTATCAGTACCCCTTTTCCAGTTATAAAAACATTTTAGAATAATCTCACACAAACAATAGAAAATTTCTTTGCTCCCACTTTACGGGAATTCGCTGCTATAGATTCAAAGCTCTGTCCCATGACACTCAAGTAGTTCAGTAGCAGCTTGACTTATAGAAAATTTCTTAATTCCATTAAGAATTTCAATCTATACGTTCATTTAAGTTTTAAAAAAATTACCATGACGGCGAATTTTGACCCAATTGTAAGGGATTATTTTCGAGGCCAGTAAACGCTGCCCCGTTGACATTTCCCTCCCAATGAGCCAGCTATATATTCCCCTGGACCTCGTTAAAGTTTAATAATGTTGGGAGGGACTATTTAGTCAAAAACATCCAAGGATAGATGGGAAGAATCCCGAATTCCAAATTAGGAGTTTAAAAGGTTGAAATTTTGGATGAGGTAAAAAGGCTGGAAATAAAGACGAAGTTAAACAGTAAGGACAGCTTTCAGCATACCAATGGCCCACCATTTGGTAGGACTAACCTTTCACGCACCTCCAGCCCCACCATCGATAATGAAGTTTCGAAACTTATTTCTGAGCATCTCTTCGTCTTCCAAGGGGCTCATTAAACTTTTATGACAATGATTCCGTAACACAACTTTGGAGACACATGTTTCTTCTCTTTACCGTTACTTTTTTTTTTATCCCTACTTAACATTTCGACCTTAAGACTTTTTGAATAATGACCGGGCAGTAAAATATGCACGGTATAAAAAAGCGATAAAACTAACACCGAAGTATTTGTTATCGAACTGCAGTCGCATATTCATGGTGACTACGCCATAGAGTTATTACAAGTGTATTATAAGTAGTTGTTAGTGATGTATATGTATTGAACTATATTTTGGAGGACGTTTCAAGACATTATTATTCTTATTGATCTGTTATAAAAAAAAAAAAAAAAAAAAAAAAAAAACTACACCGTGTGCTAAAGACCACAAGTGAAAACATTAACGAGAAGGGATTAATAATATGGAAGATAATTTTTTTTTGTCCTTAAATTATCTATCTTAATTGTTTTTTTAGCGATCGGAAACTACTCAACATATAATGCCTCAAGCTATAATCAAGATATAAGTACTCAAGATATAATGGCTCAAGATATAATCATGGCTCTTAGAAAATAAAACGCTTAAATTTCCTTCAGCATTTTAGTGTAAAAGCGGACCTCTGGCAACTTGGATTTTATATTGCCTTTGAGGTCGACTATCATATTTATAAATATTTTTAATCTGTACATAATAAACGTCTATTATACGGTTTTAACTGTTTCTTATTATTACTTAAGTTAATGAATAACCATATTTCGTGAAGCAAAGATGAGTATCAAATAATTGGCAATAGACAACTGCATTTCACTGAACATAGCTGAAAAAACTCTATTTAAAGTAAAAAAAAAATCATTCATTCACTAGAGATATTTCATTAATATAAAGCAAAAATACACGAAAGGTCTTGTTTTTACCACTTTAGCTAGAACTATTTCTAGTACAACGATTGTAAAAAGTGATAGAGCAGGAATATGTCCAACTTCTTCTCCTTCTTCCATCGGCACGATAAACCATTGCTGAGTCCTGGCCTCCTCGAGCAGCTTCCGCCAGTTTAATCGATGTTGTGCATCTAATCTCCAAGTCCAAACTCCTAACAGGGTCCTCGAGATCACCTCAACAGCATCCACCCATCGAAGTTTCGGGTGGCTTCTCGATCGGCTGCCATAGATTTCTTCATCTAGGAGTTTTCTTGTAATCTCGTGGGGTCCCATCCTAGTAACATGGTCAGGCCTTCGTAACATGCTCAGCCTGATAACGCTTCCTACATCGGACTCGCTAAGCAAGGAGTATACTTATTGATTAGTGTGGCTTCTCCAAGCTGTGTCATTTTTTACTGGGCCGTATATGCAATTAAGAATTTTGCTCTCCTATGTTAGAAGATCTCTTTCATCATTCTTCGAGAATGCCCATATTTCTGCTGCATAACTGAGTACTGGCCTGATCAGTGTATTGTATAGTCTTGTTTGTATATCTCTTGATATCAAGGTGCTACCTATATATCGATATATATAATATATAAATATATAAAATATATAACATATATTTGTTGATGCTGACCACCTCTTTATCTCATCCGAAACGTTGTTACCTGCATTAACTTGTGATCCTAGGTACACAAATTCATCGACTCACTCAAATGAGTAAGGTCCAACTTGGACAGAATCTTTATCAGGACGGCTGGGCTGGCCAGCCCATATATACATTTGGTTTTATGGCTATTAACAGAAATTCATAGCTTCTTAGGAGCATTTTCAAAGGCAAGGAAGGCTTCTTCTACTGCAACTTATGATCTTCCATCAATGTCAATGTCATCAGCATAACCCAAAAGCTGTACTGTACTATTAAAGATCATTCCACTGGTCTGGATCTTCTAGGATCCTCTAGGATTTTCTTTCTACTTTATCGAGGCTGAGCGTGCCTAAAGTAGACTCTTGACTCCAGTATCGATGCATAACAAACAATTATCTGCCACAGTCAGACTAGAATCCAGCCTCCGGAGAAACGGAATCCATAGATCCTTACTCTCTTGGCTACTCTCCATCCTATTTTTTTATATAAACTTTTATTTAATAAAAACATAATGATATCGCAGACGTTTCCTATCATTTTTGGTTATAGTGACCAAAATAGTATCGTCCCCAGGTACTAAGAAGGTTCAATAGATCTAGCGTGGGGGGGCAGGTGCCAGTACTATCGGCTGGATAGATCGGCGGTGCAATCAGCTTGTTTTCACAAAACGCCCCAACAATAAGATAAACATCTCATTATCTCACAAATACAGCTTTTGTGAAAGCACCAATTTCACCCTCCCTTCGGAAAGCAGGTGTGAACGTCGGCACATGTTGGGAGCCAGCCAATTAATGTCCAATTCGACTTTTGCTGTACACCCTTTCAAGTGTCAGACAAGAAGGAGTCAATGGAACGTGTCATTTTTATTTTTTGTCCCTTATAATTGTCATCGTTTGGTCCACCCCTTGCGCTACCTAAAAAGGGGTTCCTTCTTGACAAAATATATTATTTGGTAAAAGTTAACATAGGGTTTGTCAATTTGAAATGAAATCATTTCTAATGATTACAATGTCTTATTAAGATTTTTTAAAGATAAAATAAAATTCCGATAATTCGTAATACCAATGGACCAAAAGTTTATTACGAATTAAGTTTGGGCACACTTAAGCGCCGCGTGTCCGAGCTGCACCTCGGCGTAGTGTTTGTGCGGAAATCGTCTCCAACAATATAGGGAAATAGCTCTCACATCACCGCATCGAGGCCAGTATGCAGTTATTTTAAGAAATTTTAGTTAAATTTCGGTTCCCATTTGGCCAAATCACATGCTTAACTTTTTAAACAATTCTTTAGAGTCAAAAAAATAAAACAAACAGAATTGGCGTATAGACCTAGGTTAAGTTATTATACGCGGGGACCAGCTACGGTGGTTTACTAAACGAAAAATGAAAAACATCATATGAGATATGTATATATGTACTCTATTATTTTTGGTGAAAAAAAATCTCAAAAACCGTTCCATTTTGCTGCTTGAAGATAGTCCACCGATTATCTTCTTTTGTGCAATTGAAGAAATGTAAGCAGAGGAATGTAAAATCGCTGGACATGCCAAATTTTTTCTCGCGTTTGGCAAAGGATTTCATAATTTCCTTTTTTGTTTATAAACGCATACGTTTTATACTCATGGTGAACTTATTGAATGAAAATAAAAGATTTCCTATCCAATGTAAACAAAAACTATTCAGAGAATTGAATAGTGCGTGAGAGGATTTTTTCTCGAATGAACGGGATTGTCGAAGGGCGAATTTTACCGAAAAAGTTGAGGAAGAGGGTGGGCGAGCATGTGGGTACCAGAATGCCCAGTTCTAAACGTTGTGGTTTCGATAACCCAATACCTATAAATTTCAAAGACATTTAATTGGTCTCGGGTACGAAAATCGTTAGAAATTATCGTGGAGACGCATTTTTATGAATAAAAGCGAATAACGGGATTTACTAATTAACGGGATATGAATTATTGATATTTTACTGTATCTGTTTCATCTATTTATCGTTCTCAAATAAAGTAAAGAAACCTTCACTATCTGTCTACTGTATGGTTTCTACAAACCTATAAAGTCCCTTCCTTCAACAGAGAGTTGAACAGAGGAACCTCTGTAATACACAATACTAAAATTCCCGTTTGATGGGTGCAGGTGATGCGGAGGACAAGATGCTGAAGGAGGTGTCCGACGACGGGGGTTGCGCAGGGTGCCACGGACCAATCACGGAGAGGTTCTACCTCTTGGCGGCAGACCGGCAGTGGCACCTGGGCTGCCTCCAATGCGCTGAGTGCAAGCTGGCCCTCGACACAGAGCTCACCTGCTACTTCAGGCACGGCAACATTTATTGCAAGCATGACTACTACAGGTAAATCTTCTAACTGCTTATTATTTTAGATGATAAGTTGTCAGGATTTTTTAATGTTGGCAGGGGTGTCCAACCCCTCTCTCCTTCCCCCAAGGTCTTTGAACCACTTGTTAAGAACATTTATGATCTCATCTTTTACCTGGTCTACTCTGCTCTTCATCATCCTTCTCGAAATGGATTTTATTATATGCTCAACAGAACCAATTATGAAGAACAATAACAATTAAATAATAAAGAATATCTATCTCGGCTATAAACCAAACATTGCGTCCTCTGAATACAATGAATTACTACCACACAATTTTCTTTTTTTCTTTAATTATTTAAATGTTGCCTATTTTTCAGCGGAATCTCTTTGATTATTTACTGAACACAGTTGAAGTGTACACCAGAGCAGTTGTTATTTACAGTTTGCTGCATTTTTTTTAATTTTTTTTTATTATTTTTTTTTTTTAATTTTTTTTTCTTCTCTTATGATATGCGGCATTGTCAGCCAGTGATGTCCAGTAAGGTGCCCACTAAGAGGACTCGGTCAGACGGAGTTGGTGCCCCTCGTGATTCACCAGTGAAACAAAAAACTCGTCGCTGCCTGCGAGAAATAGCTCCAATAACCACAGTGAAAACGTCAGATACAGAACCTCAGCCTCAACCAGGTACCTCTTCGCAAGAAATGGTTGAAGAATCTCCTTTCTTCACTCCAAACCCGGTCCAAGTGCTTCATAATGACAGAGAAGTAATGGAGTCAGCAGCAGTACCCAGGGAACCAAGGCCTCCTCCGATATTTGTAAAAAATATCAAAAATTTTCAACTACTGTGTACACAGCTAAACGAAATCTGCTCCGGCAGTTATTCTTGCCTCAACAGGACTAACGACACAAAAATAACACCTGATACTGCAGAAGCCTACCGAAAAATTGTGAAGTACCTGTCAGAAACGAATGCAAATTTCCACACGTACCAGCTGAAACAGGAGAGATCGCTACGAGTGGTGGTAAGAAATTTACACTCCTCAACCCCAACTGAAGTGATAAAAGAAGAACTAGCGACGCTTGGTTTCAAAGTGCGTCAGGTAACCAACGTTCTGAAGGAGAATAAGGAGCAGCCAGGAGTGAGTAATAAAGTTCCACTACCTTTATTTTTCGTGGATCTAGAGCCATCACCTGGCATTGAAAAAATATATGATATCAAGAGATTGTACTACACTATCGTGAAGATAGAGAAGCCATACCCCAAGAAGGAAATTGTGCAGTGCCACAATTGCCAGGCGTATGGCCACACGAAAACTTATTGTCACCATCTGCCGCGTTGCGTGAAATGCGGTGAACAGCACAAATCTGTGGAGTGCACCAAACCAATACAAGATCCTGCAGTGTGTGCACTATGCCAGGAGGGACACCCGGCCAACTACAAAGGCTGCCAAACCTATAAGAGCCTCAAATCCAGATACCAGAAGAACCGGATTCAAGATGAGACAACCAGACCAAGAAGAGAACCTTCTAGAATTGTTAACAATAATTTATCATACTCCGAACTACTTGGAGGTAAGAACCCAATAATACATGTGAAGCCCTGCCGCAGCAACTACCTCAGCCCCAATCTCAATATTCTGTTCATCCTAACACACATAATCATCAACAACCTCAAATTCCTCATATCCCTCCTCCTTCAAATGCAACAGATCTCACTAGTTTGTTAGCATCTTTCCTAACCGATTTCAAATCCCTAGTCACTCCACTCATATCACTCCTTACAAATCTCGTATCTCACCTCATCCCTCCTTTGAAAAATCCTTAATGACCCACATCCCAAAACCCATGTCCATTCTCCTTTGGAATGCGAATGGTGTTAGAAATCACGTTGACGAACTAACAGCTTTACTACAAGACAAGAACATTGACGTAGCCCTAATTACAGAAACTCGACTGACCATAAAACAGCATTTAAAAATCCCACAGTATTTAACATACCGTACTGACCACCCTGATGGCAGAGCACATGCCGGCACTGCTGTCATCGTACACCAATCCCTCTCCCATCACTTACTCCCATTACCTACTCAAGATTTCCTACAGTCAACCGCTATTGTAATCAAAGCCTTCTCCTTTCCAGTCACCCTTGCATCAGCATATTGCCCTCCTAACAGATCCATATCCAAAGTCCAGTTCAGTTCTCTCCTCAACTCCTTAGGTCATCATTTCATCCTGGGTGCAGACTTAAATGCCAAGCATCAAGTTTGGGGTTCAAGAACCACGAATTCTCGTGGCAGAACATTTCTGTCTGCACTCAATACCCAACGTTTCAGTCTCCTTCCACCCAACTCACCTACCTACTGGCCCACAGATCCTAACCGCAATCCCGATATCCTTGATTTTTTCATCCACAGTGGCTTAGGTCCCCTCAATCATTCCCTTACCCCTCTTGCCGAACTATCCTCAGATCATAGTCCATTATTACTCCAATTATCTCTAGCTCCTATTCCTAAGTCTTCTCCACCGTCCTTCATCAGAGGCCCAGTTAACTGGAAACTCTTTCACCAAATCCTTACCGATAAAATTGACCTCAGAATGACCCTGAAAACCCCAGATGACCTTGACAATACCGTACACTTTTTTACCACCACTATCCAACAAGCAATCTGGACTGCTTCCTCTCCAAACCACTCCTCAAGAACTCCTAAGAAAAATAAGTTACCTCAACACCTCATAGACCTAATCCATACCAAACGCCGTGCCAGATTATTATGGCAACGTACTAGACACCCCACCGATCGCCAATCCTATAATTATTTTTGCAAAAAACTAAAGATAGAATTGGCCACCTTCAGATCCCAATCCTTCAACTCCTACCTCACTTCCCTCTCTTCTCATGACAATTCCCTATGGAAGACCACCAAACATATCCTAAAACCCCATCATATATCACATCCTCTCCGTCGAGGTGATGGCTCTTGGGCAGCATCTGACGAAGATAGAGCCGAAGAATTCGCCAAACACCTTTCCCTTACATTCACCTCTCATCCAGAATCCAATCCCACCCACACGTCAGCAGTAGAGGAATTCCTTAATTCACCCATCCCACTCTCCTTACCGCCTAAAGCAGTTAATCCTTCTGAGGTCAAATTCCTCTTACAAAAACTACCTACCCGTAAATCACCTGGATACGACCTCCTTACCTCTCAGATCCTTAGACAACTCCCTCCTAAAGCTGTCATATTCCTTACATACATATACAATAGCATCCTACGAACCACCCACTTTCCTCTTTTGTGGAAACATTCCACTATTATCCTGTTTCCGAAACCAGGCAAACCTCCCAACACCTCAACGTCCTACAGACCAATTAGCCTTCTTCCGATTCTCTCAAAAATCTTTGAAAAGATCCTCCTGAAACGCATCCTACCCTTTATAGAATCCCAAACTCTTCCTTCCCATCAGTTCGGATTTCGTTCACAACACTCTACAGTCCAACAAGGACTCCGAGTGGTTGATCATATTTCCGCAGCATTGGAAAGCAAGCAATATTGCTCGGGTGCATTTCTGGACATAGCTCAAGCTTTCGACCGGGTATGGCACGCCGGGCTTCTTTCCAAGCTGAAAAACTATCTTCCTCAGTCCTTGTACCTTGTTCTCCGTTCCTACCTCTCAGATCGTACCTTCCGAGTTCGTTGCGGTACTGAATTTTCGCATTGCTATCCAATTGAGGCAGGTGTTCCTCAAGGTAGCGTATTGGGTCCCGTCCTTTACATCCTCTTTACCGCCGATATCCCTGTCCATCCCGATACCTTCCTGGCAACTTTTGCTGATGACACCGCCATTCTATCATCCGACTCAGATCCCAACATAGCATCCTTAAATCTCCAAAACCACCTCACCTTGATTGAGCACTGGTGTAATAACTGGCGCATTAAAGTTAATGAATCTAAATGCCAACATATTACCTTTACACTCCGACGCAGTTCCTGTCCACCAGTACACTTTAATTCCATCCAGCTTCCTTACTCAGACACAGTCCGGTATCTTGGCTTTCATTTAGACCGAAGACTAACGTGGAACCCACATACTAGACTCAAAAGACAAGAACTCAACCGACGATACGGCCAGCTATACAGACTACTAAACAGAAAATCCAAACTTTCTATTGAAAACAAATTACTTATCTACAAGACAATACTGAAACCTATATGGACATACGGACTTGAACTGTGGGGGACAGCAAAAGCTTCTAACATCAAACGTATTCAATCCTTTCAATCTAAAGTCCTTCGAACAATAGTTGATGCTCCGTTCTATGTAAATAACAAAATCCTACACCATGACCTTAATATCCCATTTGTCCTAGACCTTATTCCAGAAAAATTCTCCAAATTTCACCAGAACCTTACCTATCATCCAAATCCCCTTGCACAATCTCTATCCAGCACCACCCATCCTTACAATCCTCCTCGAAGGTTGAAGCGGCAGTGGCCCAGAGACCTTTTGTAAATAAGCATCTATTGGAGTTTTGGCAATGGCCAGATCCTCCACTCAAGCCCGAGTGTGTATGATTAGGTTAGTTCTTTTGTTTATATACATTTATTTTATTTTATTGTATTTATTTTTATTTTATTTTATTGTATTTATTATTATTAAGTTTCTGTATTATTATTTTTTTTTTTATTGTAAATAGAGTGTGAGTGTGCTTTCTCTGAACACTATTATAAATGTCCTTGATGTGACAGAATGTAATATTTCTAAATAAATAAACAAATAATTATTTAAAAAATGAATTAATCTGAACCAGTTGATAAAGCATTTTACATTATTTACCTTTTAATTTATATGAACCAGTATTAATTTATCCTTATTTACGATCACTTGTGAATTATGATGTAATTATTATTTTTTCATTGTGACTGAATCACGTAAAGCACATAAAAGAAGTCTCATGCTCAAAATACCTCAAATTCATGATAGGAATTGAAGATATATTCCAACATAAATAAAAAATATTACATTTTATTGAAATATTTTATAAAATAAATTAAATTACAGATTTCATTACCTTTTTTTCCATGGCATATATCCTATTCTTTTATTTATTTAATAAAATCCTAATAAGGAAAAAAAGTTTTCTCTTTAGTGGATTCAACATAAAGATAAATTCCCCCCCCCTCCAACCCCTGTCTCCTTCCCCCAAGGTCGATGGCGCACGAAGTTTCCCCGCCTTACCCCAAGATATTTT